ACATATCGTAGGCAGCATAAGCTCAATATATCAATATACAAAGCAATATAAATAATATATATAATATAATAAAATATAATAAAATAATATATGTATTGCATATATTAAAATACAAAATCTACGTTTATTGAAATTGATAAAATTTATTTATATTTATTTGTAATACTCGTAGCTCCATAGTTTTATAGTAATTGAATGATTTATTGCGATATTTCTTCTCATTTTGTGTCTAGTTTAATTTCAAGAACTTTTCCTTTATAAATATATAAGAAAAGATAGGAAGACTGACAAGAAGTAGATTATTAATTTTTTGATTATTTTTATAATTTATATATTGATTTATTTATTTTATTTCTTGTGTGAATAGTTCAGGCAATGAATCGTGCTTCCTAGAACTTCCTTTATGTTCGATATCTACTGTTGGCTCAGTCGAGTACAAAATGAATTCGATTTATTGTGCATGCATTCAATTCAAAACCGAATTACAGTGAATACAACCACAGAGCGGTTGGCTATCAGGCAATGTACAGTAAAAATGCCAGCAATTATGGGACCGCAATTCGACAAATGGCAGCGACAGAGCTGAGTGTGTTTATAGAGTGGGAGAGAGGGAGGGAGAGAGAGAGATAGATGTAAAGATAACTAACATGTGGGGGAGGGAGTGTTGATTCGGCAATCAAAACGAGGCAAATGCGAGCGAGCGAGCGAGCCTTTTGTTAATATTATGATGATTTGTACGAGTATGTGGCGGCGTTTGTATTGTGTGCGTGTAGGCGCATGCTTGACTGTACGTCCGCACATCTGGCTGTCAGATTTTGGCTGTCCATCGACAGACGGTGTGTCTATCTCTATTTGGCCACGGACCGTGCGTGCCTCTGTATTATTATTTTAACAATTTATTTTGCGCAATTAACACAATTGCCGACACACATTCATTACGCACAGCTTCCGGCAAAATGCGCCTGAGCTTTATTTATTGTGAGTGTGTGCGTGTGTGGGTGTGTGTGTGGGTGGATGGGTGTGAGCCCAAAGCCTAAGCCAGCCTATTTGGCCCACTGGCATAAGAGATTTACGCAGTCGGCACGTGGCATCCTCAAGATTTACGCTTTGTATCGCCTGCGAAGGCACAAAAAAATGGCAGAGGAGTAGACGATGCTATAATAAATGTCTGCTCATATACTAGCCGACTACAGTAGTCTCTGGCTGCGACGGGTGTTTGCCTAATGAGCGCACGCCTCACATTTCGCTCCAGCTGATCAGATTAGTTGAATTATTTGCAAGTAATTTATTAGATTCCCCACTGAGTTGCCAAAACTTTTGGAATTTGCATACAGCCGATGCGTAATTAACATACTTAATGGATTTCCATTGCCATTTTCCATTTTCCATTGCCAGCTAAAAAACTAAACTCGAGTTTCATAAGACTCTCAGCATTAATTGAAAGCGAATTTAAGCCCAGAGGCCTACTCATAACCCAACCTCTCTCGCTCTCACTCTCCATCTCCCTCTCTATCTATCTATCTGCTGTTTGTCTTTGTGTTTATTGAATCTCATATCAATTGGGCTCAGTTTCTCACTTTTCAGCTGCGCTAATTAGTCGGTCGCTTGGGCAACTAATCTGTTGAGAGCAAACATTATTATGCCATAAATTTGACTCGCTGCCACCTGTGAGGTGCCTCGTCTTCAGTTCATTCGAAAGCCCCTCAATGGCAATCGAGAGGCGAGTCAGAATCGAGAAACAGCTCAGTTTTCCCTTTGATCGGCATGTCGATAATATAATATGTGGGCTCTTGAGTTCAAAGACATTGCTAATTGAATAGCGCTCGTCGGTTCCTTAAATAAGACTCGATTGGACTCAGAAATGAGGGACTATCCATGGGCAGGGGAATTCAGGGCCCCAAAGGAGGCCAAAATAAAGTCTGTCTTGGGTTTCGAGCTCAGTTAATTTAGTTGACGACGTGACAAATTCGCAGCAATCTGCATCAATTGTTGTCTTTGTCGTTGTTGTTGTTGTCTAGCTGATTAGCATTGATTGAGACTCACCTGCCGCGCATCTCCTCGGTGGGCCAGTCCATATTCTGGCCCCAAGGCATTTCGGTGGTGCCCAGAATCAGGCCGAAGCAGAAGCCAAAGACACATGAGATGAACATGCCCAGGCTTAAACTAATAAAGCCAACGCGCTGCAAATCAAAACAAGAGAAAATCAAATGAATTTAATTTGCATTGTAAATGTGAATGGCTAGTTGTAAATAAAATATATTTTCGTCTATATGCAAAAGGTAAACACACAGAGAATATAGAGCGATTGCTGGAGAGCATCAATAGATTCAATTGAATAATCATGGATTTATAATATTTAAAAAAATTATATATAAACAAAAAATAAATTTAAAAGAAATTTAAATAAATATAATGAATATATGTTAGACTATTATTAATATTATTTTCAAAACAAACTTAAAAATAATTAACGACTTGAAAGCCTAAAATTGAGACAAATAATAAAAATTAATTATTTATTTAGTCTTATAAAATATAAAATATAAAATATAAAATATAAAATATAAAATATAAAATATAAAATA